CCAAGTAAGCCTTTTTTTTTGAATGCTCATAGATAATCTACATACATACATATAGGATGACCGATCTTCATCTGCTCTTCAAGGGAGAAAAAAAGGTAAGGTGGAAACTTTTTGCTTTTATAAGAACCCCTCTGAGGCATCAAGCGGTGTGTTTAATTCTTTACTTCAACCAATTCAGATTAATGCTTTTCACTAAAATTAATACTTCCTCTGTCCCATATCTTTCTTGACATTTACTTTTCATGGTCTCTAACGCAACACTTTGACCACTAATATCTCCATTTGTGTATGTTTAGACATATATTATAAAAATATGATATTTCAAAACTACATTTAAAAATGAATCTATTGGTATTAAATTTACATCACAATTCAATATACTTTTTCCATAATTTGTGGTCAAACTTTAAAAAGTTGACCACCAAAGTCAAACTTGGAAGAAAGATATAACAATTCCTTCAGTTTTGGATTGCCTAGAGAGCATGATGCAATGCTTTACACACAGAAATACACACACACCCTTCGTAGTATTCAATTTCATTTCTCTTGTCTTGAAGAGCGTTTTGTGAGATCTCTTTGGATCCATGTTCCATAAGACAAACTTCATAATCTGTGCTAAGAGTAACTTTTACTATCTATGTATTATGCCACAGGAGGACTGAATGTAGAAGGAGAGTCTGATAGCTGGGATTTTGGTGTTGGTAAGGAAAAGTTTAATTTTTTAATATATCAATTAAGTAGTGCTTGAATCAGAAGCACTGTGTCCTTTCACTGTAAAACAAATGGGAGTAGGTATCTCACCGGTCATAATCAACATAAATATAGTAATAGTTAAATCAATGTTAAATGTGCCATTTTTTTCAAGCCAACGTGATGTAGTGGTGAGGGACATCATGCTTGCAAGAGGTCAAGAGTTCGATTCTTGGTAGAATTGGAGAAAAAACTGTACATGTTTTCGTAAAATGCTTTTGAGTTATCGGGGTCATGCATTGAAATGTGAGTTGTGCATTTAAGCTTTGAGCCATGTGTGGAGTATAAATGAATTCAATGGAATAGGTGCTGGATTTTACCTAAATGCTACCCAAGAGAAGTGGAAGAACTGGCGTATGTATGACTATGTTGTGAAGGAGTTGCCAGGACTTCTTACTGAGCACTTTCCACAGCTTGACACAAAAAGGGCATCTATCTCTGGCCACTCAATGGGTGGCCATGGAGCACTAACAATCTACCTCAAGAACTTGGATAAGTTCAAGGTAAAGATATTTTTATGTTCTTGAACTAAGATATAGCTAATCATTTGCTTTCCATGTTGTAACTATGGGTGTGTGTTATTGTGTATGCATGTTATGTTACGAATTTTACACCTATAATAATAATAGTAATAATAATAATAATAGTCTTCCTTCCCTTTCAATCCATGCCAAACTGAATAATAAATGAGTACATTAACTTACTTACTTACCCCACGAATGTGGGTGCATCATGCCACTTCTAAAATGCTAAGAACTACTAATAATATGGTTGCACTAACAATAACCACTATTATGCATAAACACCCAATAATAATCATGGTATATATAGTAGTAATAATAATACAAAGTAATAGTAATCATAATTAAATTAGTAAATAATAATAATAATGATAATAATAATAATAATAATAATAATAATAATAATAATAATAATAATAATAATAATAATAATAATATACAAAGGACTATAACAACAACAACAACAACAACAACAATAATAATAATAATAACCATAAAACAACAACAACAACAACAACAATAATAATAATAATAATAATAATAATAATAATCTGTAATGAATAACACTATGTGCACTATTCCTCCATGCATGCAATATAAATTAGCCCGGGACTGCATTCCTAATCCCACAACCAGCATATCTTGTGGTGTGGCACGTTTGTATCATTACCTCATTTGGTTTTGATTTGTATTCATACTAGGCTACTTTAAATGCTCTACTATAAACATTTCAGGATTCCTTCTGTTGGTAAATTACAATTATTGTTGTGTATGTTCAGTCAGTGTCGGCATTTGCTCCAGTTGTGAATCCAATGAACTGTCCTTGGGGTCAGAAGGCTTTCAAGAACTACTTGGGCGAGAATAAAGCTGATTGGGAGGTATGTGATCCTGAGGGAATACATTTTCACCAGTTAGGTTTAAATGTTTAATGTAGTATTTGTAGGAGTATTGAGCTTGCATGCGAGGTGATACTAGTATTTTGTATTTACAGCAATATGATGCTACCTGCCTTGCATTAGGGGCTTCAAATCTGTCTTCCACCATTTTAATTGATCAGGTAAATTGCTCAATATGAACTTGGCAGTCCAATTGTTATTGGATGATATTTGATTTCATCTGTCTTTGCCCATTTACTCTTTACTAGATTGTTAGGTGCTATTGTGCTTTAAAGATTAAATTTACCAACTCTTTTTCGTATGTTTACTGCGTTCAACATTTATATATTACTGTCAAAACTGGCCATTGGGGTGTCAAACATGGAACGGTGACAGTTTGCCATGGACTTCTCATAGTTCTCCCACTCTAGAAGTGGGCTAGCCTTCCTCAACCTGGGATCCATCGAGCCAGCTTGTTTAGGCTCTCTTTCAAACCTAATGCACATTTTCAACCATCACACCCCCATTGGTCATTGCACTGCCATGCTTTCTGGCCTAATGGGTCCAACCTGAACTGATACCTCTACTTGTATAACTTATTACCGTAAACTTAGGGGGGTGTATTCAATATAGAGTTTGAAGGATTTTTATGTATTCTAAAAGTATATGGGTATTCAATTAGGATTTTAAAAATTCTTTTAAAATCTTGATGTATTCAATTAAGATTTTAAAAAATCTTTTAGAATATTGGTGTATTCAATTAAAAGTTTAAAATATCCATCTAAATCTAATGGTATTGAAAATTCAAAAGATTTTTGAAGATTTTTATAAATGATGGATTGTGAAAGATTTTAGGATATGTGGTATAAATAAAAATTCTTCATACAAATCTCTCTACTGACCTACTGATTTTGAGAAATCAAGGCCATGAAGAATGAAAAAAACTGCTTCAGCATAAGAAGCTTACTCCAGTCTACGAACGGGTACATATACAACATGTTTCAAAATCCTAATCCTCTTTCACCAATTCTTCGATCTTTTTTTTTCTCTAATCAAATTGCAGTAAGGCCATATCATCTTATGTAAGATGTAGAGATAGATGTTCAATTCAAGATCGACAAAAAGATTGGGTTGAGAAAAGTTGTTTCACTTCGTGGCAAATTTCCTGTGGTTTTATGATTTAAGGACAGATGGATAGTAAGATTTAGAAAAGCAATAAGATGAACAGAAGTAAAGTGAGAATGACAGATGCCAGCCGGAGAAAGCCAAGGATTCTCAGAAGGCCAAAGAAGAAGATGAACAGATGGATAGTCAATGCTGTCAATCCATTTTGTAATATACGGAGTAAAAAAAGTCTATAGACTTCAAAAAATATACATAAATCTTAATAATACAATACATTAAAATCAATTCAATTCTATGTGGATTTAAAACAATCAATAGATTCCCAATAATCCATAGATTATAAAAAAAATCTAACATAATCTTTAAAAATCTCAATTGAATACACCCCCTTAATGTGATTCCCCCCCACTCCGTCATCTTTGAGTTCAAATTTTACTCATGCCTCGTTTGTTAGTCACTCTCTCATAATCGGCTAATTTGTTCTAGCACATTGGGCCCTGAAAAATAGGCCATCTTTCAATTCAAGATATGAAAGATCAAAGATGAAAACCAAGTCTAAATACCAATATGTCTTTAAAAAATCACAATTCTTGATTATAAAAAAATATTTTTATGTTATTAATTTTCCTTGAGAATTGCTCTACAGACAAAATAATCCGCATTAAAGTTGGTGATTTTTTTAAAGATAACTATAAATGACTAAGAACTAAAATTCAGGATTGGGTTTGTATTGGATTGATAGTTTCATTCTTTTAGGTATTAAATGGATAATCCTGAAATGATAGCCAATCTTCCAGGTCTTGAATCGATAAAACTGTCTTCTTATTCTTGTTCTGCTTGTGAATTTTCTAATAATCTACAACTGAATTGCTGGTAGGGAGAAGATGACAAATTCTTAAAGGATCAGCTTTTACCTCATAAATTCGAAGAAGCGTGTGCAAAAAGCAGCATCCCTCTCCTTCTCCGCATGCAGCCTGGATATGACCACTCCTACTTTTTCATTTCTACCTTTATCGAAGATCATATTCTCCATCATTCCCAGGCACTTAAACTGTAGCTGC